ATACGTGGGTATAGGGGCGAAAGGCCCGAGCTTCAATCCTGAGACTTGGATCATCATTGAGACCCAAGCCCAATTCCCAAACCAACACAAACTCAAGCTACCAAGTTTGCATTAAAACGAGGGTGTAAGTAGAGCTTAGAGCAAAGCTCAGGGTGTATAGAGTTCAAAGTTTGAGAACCCACACAGGACATTATTATGGAGCTTGCTCAAAAACCAAAAGAGCTTCGACCGAGGGTGCTGGATCGGGGCCAGCGGCTTTTTCTGTCGGTGAATGTTGCCGTGACCTTCCACGTATCAAGGCTCACGCTTCCGAGTTGACCAACAAGCAGAGTATAGGTGTGCCTGCAGCACGGTCACGCTGAAAGCATTGCCAACGCAACTCAGCGCAAGCGTGCGTTTTTGACCAAGAGCTGTGGCCGCGTCTGGATGCAAGAATTTGTTTGGGGAGATTCCTTGCAGCCAGGCAGAGGTGCTCCTCCCGGTCAGAAGCTGCTTCATACGATTGCTCCGAACTCCGTTACTTGGACGGGGGCAAGTGGCTGCGCCCACTGCGTGCCCGAGCATCCTTCCAGAAGACGCGTTGCGATCATCACACATGCCCTCCAGTCGCACCGCTCTGCTTTGTACCATGCGTACAGGGCTTCCAAGCACGTGCTGCTTCTTGTTGGGAATGGTTTGGGCGGCAATTCCTTCTGCCAAATGCCCTCACAGTGCACTGCAGAGTCGCGCTTCTGAAATTGAAGCCCCGTGTTCTGCTCGTCCTTCCGGGCTCCCAAAAGCCCACGCCCTGGTGCGCCATTGCCGGAGAAAGAAATCCTGCGTGTCCACCACGCGCGCCTGGCCAGCACCAAGCAGCATGTCCTGCTGGATTTGCTCCATGGCAGGGGGCCGGAGCTCCGCGCGCTTGTCTTTGCGCCGGTGCATCACTGCGGCCACAGTCATCCAGTGCGCGCCAGGGCTTCCTTGACCCCGTGAACATATGTAGTGGAGCTTTCACACTCAGGGCACTCTGGGTGGCCCGGCTCCAGGCAACCAGCGTACTGCTTCACGTCATTGCTCATGCTGATGTTCACGCAGGCTACGCCTGCGATCAAGATGTCAGCCTCGGGTACGAGCATGTCCCGCTGTTGTAGAATGCAGCGGACGTGGCCACCTCCCGGCAGTCATTGATAAACAAGTGCACATCCCCCCCATGAGCATCTCGTATGAAGTCCTGGCGGGACGGATCGATCTCACAGCACAGGACCTGCGTGGCTGCCACAGCCACTCCAAAACGCTCGTTGAGAGTGTTCTTCAGCACGGGGATGCACGAGTCCAGCCCTGAGCATGTGGATGCCGAGCGTATGCATGCCGAGCGTATGCAATGCCCGTCCAACAACGGCAGGGTTTTGCGCAAGCGGCCTAGATCCTTCCCAGGAAAGCTGGTCCACAGTGGTTGCACGTGATGTGCAGCGAACACATTGGAGCATGCCCACGGAGATGCATTTCCTGCCGGGTCACTTTCGGCCTGCGCTTCGCCGCCAACTCCATGTCAAAGGCCACCAGCCGGCCCAGGTGACCATGTATAGGAAAAGATACTGGCACCAGAGCTGCCTTCACGGCCGCAAAGTGGCATATGTATGTCGGGCTTGAGGACCTCGGAAGATTTGGGCAGGTCAAAATCTGACATATTCCATGGCTTCGTCCGCGTTGCAGCACAGTTGACCTGACCCATGGCCACAACAACAGGCCTGCATTGTACACATGCAGCGCGGCGCCCTGCTCCACGGGCACCTTGGCGGCTATGGCCGTGGCTTTCTTGGGCACGAAGAGCTCCGCGTGCCGGCCGTGCAGGGAGTGGGCGTGTTGCTCGCCCGGCGCTGCATTGCATGCAGGGGCCTCCGGCTGGATCGGGTCCATGTGAGTTTGGTCTGCTTCCATGGACGTGGGGTATATGGGAATCTTGCTATGATTTAATTTAAAAGCACAGTGTATCTACTTAAGGGGGACTAAACTATACACAGTCGCCCGTTCCCTACAGCGCATCTGAGTAAACCCTACGAATCAAAATAAGTTTAACCCTCCTTAAGAACTTCAGAACAAGACCCTCTAAACCCAATGGCGGCCTAGGCCCCACTACACCGCGGAAAGCGACCCTCTCCATCACGTCGTCTTTAGCCCAGCCAGCATTCAAGGATAGATTCCAAGCCACAGGTAGGCGAAGGGGAGGCAAAATCCCCTACTGGCTAAAGACCACAACGCAAATGCCGTAATTTGCGTGGACATGGTGTGCTAGGACCAAACTCCATATATATATATATCACAATTAAAAACACTTGAGACAGCACCTAGATGTGGCATCAATGCGCGCGGAGCAAGAGCGCACCCGGCATTAGAAAGAAACACAAAACCCTAATCCCTACAGTAAACTTGAAACTTCCAAAATGTACATCGAAGCTTTACACCCCATGCCCCTCAAGCCCAGTAACCAGGTCCTTCCGCAGAAGACGGGTAAAGCAAATCCAAGGCCTAAGGTCTGTCCCCAGCAGTTTACGGCTTTAAAGTATTACTCAGCATTGAGGCTGTAGGATTCAGGGCTTCTCTTTCAGGGTTTAGGATTTAGGACTCACGTGCTCTTTCGGTTTTAGGTTGGATTTGGGTATGTCGGAGGTTCAGGACTTAGGGATTGGGTCTTCGGGTGCTTAGGACTATGAGGTGCGGGTTGGGGGTTTTGGCTGTCAGGATTTATGGCAGACACGCCTGATGTAAATTCTGGAGTCCGTTGGGGGGTATAAGGGCGGTATACAGTTGGGGAAGAAAGCGATAGTACTGGGTAGTTTAGGTTCGGCTGTGTGTGTGTGTGTATGTGTGTTGAGGGGTGTGGGTGAGTAGCTGGCTATGAAAGAGTCTGATGTTCAAATTACCCGCAAATGTGCTTGACTTGGGCCCTGATGTTTTATAACTTGCTGCAGCCTTTTTCGCGCATACCGCGCCCAGCATCATGTACATAAATGAAATTGAAACAAGGAAGCCTCTGCCCGCTGGCTTCCGCGAGTCCTCCGCGAAGACTATTGGATACTATTGGTAGGTTGTCCGACGCTGTGCTTCCGCAGGCTCTGCCGCGGACGAGTTCATCTCGATCAGGTGTTTCCGCGGCGCTTCCGAGAAAGGAATTTCTCGTCTTCGGCGTTATCTGTCCGAAGGAAAACAACTTCCACAAGCGAAGTGCTTCCGCAAAAGCTTCCGCGCGCAGTGGGAACCATTTTTCGGAAGCTGTTGCCGGCCGATTTCCGAAGTTGTTTCCGTACCTAAGAAACTTTCCTCTCACCCTGAAAGCTCCAAGAGGCAGGCGCAAGATGACTATAGAGTGATGGAGCGCAAACATTGAACGGCAAAACTCAAGGAGAAAACAACACAGCATTCTCGCCAACCCCTCAAATACATCATGAAGAATCTTCAAACAAACTAGACTTCAACTCCAAACCCCTCAGCCCAGACCTTATCTGGACCCTAGATGTCCGACTTTTTGGTGATATATGCAAGACAGATGCGTGGGACAGAGCTCGAAAAAGGGAAGGACATCCAGGGTCAAGGCATGCCCTAAACACCGATGAACTCTGCTTTTTAGAGCACGTATCCCACTGTGTCTTCCAAGTTATAAACCAGGTTGAGTTATAAAACCTGTACATACGGTTACGCCCATTAAGCGTGACTTCCAAGGCAAGTTATACATCCGGGTCCCTCCCTGTACGCTCTAAACATCGATTTAACATGTCAGGCCTCCACCCTCTCAGGCATGGATACTCGGTTTAGGGTTCAGGCTATATGTGTTCCGCTGTATCATCAATGGGTCGTTGGCAGCCCCAACCACCCCAAATTTAGGACCCTGCTGCAGACCTAAAATACTTTTAGCTTCTTCATCTTGGGTTGAGGTTACTAAAGCCCAGTTCCTTATGCAAGTGCCTTTATATGATTTATTTCATTTACACATACATAAGCGGACCGCTGCTTCAAGTCCTTCCTCAATGACAGACTCTATGTAATGTGACTCAATCTGCAGAAACTAGAGCCACCTTCCAAGGTGAAGAAGCGAGGCTCACTGAAACAGGCACTTTGGATCCTCACTGCCGAGTATGGGCCCCCATCTTTCATGCCGATCGTCCCTAAAGTCCTGAACCCTAGTACCTGAAGGCCGACACTAAACCCCAACTTGCATCCTGGGTCGCGTATCCTGAACCTCACGTATGGCTTTCGAGGCAAAATTGGAGCGCATTTCCGGGTGCCCCTAGCATGGACTATAGCACTTGGGGTATAAACAGGTGACCCTACATTTGTGGACAAACACCGCGAACCCCAGTTGAACGTAGTAGTTTCGAATATTCTTTGCTACTCCTTGATGCGAAGCAAAAGCCCTAAACCCTGAACCCCACATTTCAGCCAGAAGGCAATTCTGCAGCTGCTCCTGGATCTTTCGTCTGATGCTTCCCTTCTCGAACTGCACCGTAGCATAGAGGTCATTCCTAGGCATTCTAGCCTAACCTGAAAGTAAATCCTGAATTCTGTGCACACCTAGAACCCTAACAAAAAGGTGATCTATTGCAATGGCTGGCTGCTTGGATGGAAATGGCTTACCCGTCTCGTGAAGTTCTACAGCCGAGGAGCTCACCGAAGCCTATCACCGGCACTAAGGCAGCCCCAGTGCCTCTGCCAGGGAAGATGAAGCGGTGGATATGCCGGCGATAGATGGGTGGAAAAAGTGTAGGAAGCATCAGGAAGAAGGGGGTGGAGGGGGAGGAGGAGTGGGAGGAGAACGGGGAGGAAGAGGACAAGACCGAAAAGAGGCAGTCACTAGTGTAATTAGTAGGACCTAGGCATCTAGCAACTAGTATAACGAACATGCTGATGATGATGATGATGATGGTGTAGATGTAGATATAAATGTAGCGGTGCTAGTAGTAGTAGTAGTCGTAGTAGTAGTAGCAGCAGCAGTAGTAGCAGTAGCAGCCATCGCGGAGGCGGCAACCCCCAAGTAATGGCTCCAGGAACAAGGCTTGTCAGGCAAGGTAGAGGCTTGAAATGAGAGCCGCTTTCTTGTTGCGGTAGAGCGAGTAGTGAGTAGGGCATGTTCTACGCAAGGCCACCCAGAGCATGCTCTGCTCAGTCGAATTGTGGATACTTGCTTTCACCAGGATGGCACCTGGTCTGCCGCTCGCCTGGCTATCAGAAAAGTTAGATAACATTTCAAGAGCTGCTGCAGCAAAGGAACTAAGCGCCAGCTTCGCAAAACCTTGCGGCACTTCATCACAGCTTTGCAGGTCTTGCCAAAGACGACCCACGGGCATGGGAAAAAATACTTAAAGAGGCGACTTGTCCAGGTTCCCCCAAGAGTTCATACGACTTGTAATATGTCGACAAAAAACTACACGATACCTATAGTCCCGGTTGAGTAGATAGAATATGGCTTCTGGTATATCATAATATGATCCCCATATACCCCCGATTCTATCTACTTAACGGGGACTATATATGTACTATAGACTACTAAGAAAGGCATCCTACCCCGGTATCCCAAACCTTGGTCTTGGGAGCTCCTACCGCACCAAGAGCTCAAGACACAATGCTATACCTCGCCCTCCCGACAACCTAAACGCCAAACAATCCTACGCCGAAAAGCCCAAACCCTGAACCCAGAAAACCCCCAAACCTACGTGTTCACAAGACCAGGACAAACAAAATCCTAAGCACGGGGCCCCAGACCATCGCCTTTTAGGGGGACTCGCAGCTCTCGTAAGAACATTTTATTGGCTGTGTGCTTCTTCGAGTTCAGGTCACCCCCCAGCCACTACTGCAGCACCACTTTCGGAATACGGAGGGCACAGAATTGCCTGCGTCCCTCCAGTCACTAGTGGTGGCTGAAGAAATCGCCTAAGGGAGAGCGTATTGTGCAACAGAAAAAGATTCTCTCCGGACTCTATTCAAAGACAGGACTTGATCAGCAGTAGCAGCAGCACTGGAAGTAGACCACAAACTGTGCAAACCTGCGCTGATCCATGTCCCCAATTAAACTTGAGCGGGATGAGTTTTCAAATTCGAGTGGTTGCAGGGGTTCTCCCTGAACCCGGCCTTTGCGACTGCGCAACACTAAGCGCATGGTGCCCGGAACGCTTTCCAGGCTTTCTTTGGCTCCTGTGCTTAGGTTCTACGCTCAGGTTTGCATTAGGGTAAGGCCTTAATGTGCTGGATTGTGGCGTTCAAGGATAGCTTGATTGGATGTATGTCGTTTAGGGGTTTGCGCGCCTGGTCGAGTTGCCACCATGTTCACTGGGACACCCTAGACAAGCCGGCATGATCAACACACACTCGCAGTCAGCGAAAGAGCCTGTCCACTTGCCTGCCCTGGTCGGCATCTAAACTATGGTAACTATGGCCCTGAGAATGACGATGCCACACAGCACCAGACGCATAGTCCAAACACGAAACAGGATGTATACCTCAATGATCCACATGTAAAATGCGTCACCCCGAATACCTCCCATCTGGGTCCTGTGCACATACTCCTAAATTGTATCTCCGATGTGCTTCAGCAAGTTTGCGCATGAGAGCTGCTCTACAAGTTTGCGGATATGCCATGAAACAAACCCATCTGTAAAAGTCATTCTACCCAAGAAGATCCATAAGTGATGGCAATTGCTGAGACAGGTAGCTGTTCTCAACAAGGCCACCATAAACCCTGACATCTGTTTTGCAAAGCTTGTAAACCCTCCCTCCATACCCCTCTACTTGTAGGTCCCGGGTAATTCAAACCCAATTATAACTTATAACCATATTCGGGGACTTATGGTTAGGATACAAGTACGGTTATAACCCGGGCAGCCACGAAGAAACCCCCCAATCCCAGTCCTCCTGGTGCCAGACCAATGCAGCGGCCATGCCGGAGAAGGTGCCTCTAAGGCTTCTCGCATTCAGAAGCTGGATCTAACGTAGGGGTCTACATAACTGAAATATTCTAAACGGGGCTTTAGGGATTATTCTTGTTCAGTTGCTATCGTTATACAGTGACTTTAGAAGCAATTGTATTGGAAATGATCTGGCTTCTACAGTACCTGAGTCTTGTTTGAGAAGCTTACTCATTGTAACGCTTCCTCAACTCAAGCTGAAGAAGTGCGGTGTGGATATACCTTGTGATTCTTGCATCAAGCTTCGGCGGGAAAGGGGCGCGAGCAACTCCGGATAAGGCAGAAGAAGAAAACAGTAGGGGCAAGGCCTAACCATAAACCCTAAACCCTGGGTTAAGTACGGGAAGGAGCGATGGGAACTATCCTATTTAGGGGACTAAATCTAGTATACGGGTCTTTTCCTTCCTTCCCTATAAAGCCTAAATCCGAAATCTGCAAAAACCCTTTACCCAGCACTGGTTTCCCCTGTTCCGCACAATATCTAAGCTCAAGAAAAATATGAGGGTACTCTTTGTATGACCCAACAGACCCAACGTTCTCCGTGTTCAAGGCTCCCAACGGGGACCGGCCCTAAGTTGTTGAACATCCGTCAATAACCCTACGCTCCTTAGATCTCCCAAACGACTTATAAGTGCAATGTACGGATATATATATATATCTATATATACATATACTGATCTCTCTCTATATATATGTTGAAATCTACATACTTTTTTAAACCCCTGTATAAGCCCTACAACTGCTATGCATCCCCTTCGCGACATATATCTAGCCCCCGTGGTAGCTCCTACAACCTAAGCCGTAAAACCAAAATCATCTCATCCCAGCGACAAGCACGTCTTCTTGCTGACGGAACCGTGCCCGTGCATCAAACACCACTCCTCGGCAGGCATAAGTCCAATCAATTGGTGGGGTGTTCATACCAATGACTACATGCGGAGTTCCAAGACTTAGGTTCCTTTTTAGGGGTTTCACTGGGGTTATAGGGAGGTGCGCGGCCATGTTGAGATATGCAGCGATACTTTATATTTACGCATGTGTGTATATGTGTGCCTGTTTATTGATTCATTCATCCAAGGTCAGAGCTGAATCAACTATTAGTAGCTCCCACACACCCCCACCCCACATAAGCACAAATCCGTATCTAGGGGTGAGGTTTTAGATGGCAGTACTGGACTGGAGCACCACAAGGAAGATCGCGCAACACAAAATAGGCACAGGTTTGGGGTTGCGATTATGCAGGCGTTAGACAGTGATTGCCTGCCCCAGCAATAACCTCTTCCCAAAACAGAAACATGTAATTGTAGTACACCTGTATAAACATACATATACTCAGAAAATTTACCCAGGGCTGGGTTTCAAACCCTGGGCTTGTCAAATGACAGTGCAGTTCTCACTGTTTGTGGCCTGGACCTTGAAACCCTGTGCGGGGTTCTTAGAAACAGTCCATTAGGAATGACAGGCGACTGCGTCCGTCAAAAGACTGCTTCACAGCATAGCACTTCCTCTTTAGCACCCCGACACCTCGAACGCTGTCGCCCACTGGACCAGGTCTTACTGCTGAGGGTTTGCAACAGCTTTTCCACTACGCACCCAGTTACTTACCTGAGCCTAGCTACGCAGGCACCCCTGGCATGACTATTCTCGAGCTCCACATGTGGACCCAGCGACACTGCGTCCTAGACACTATACGGGCCAACTCTAATCTTAGACGCAGAACCCAGAGCCAACATCGAACTGCAAGCCTTACTTGAAGGTTCATGCTGGACACAAGTGAGGGGATGGAAGATTTACATGCAATCAACAAGTCCCATGAGCCTTCGCAAGTGCAATTGGAACCCAGAAGCCGTGCCCCGAACTGTAAGCCCTGTAACCTGAGCCCTAAACCCCAAAAATCCTATACCCTCAACACGGAATCCTCTAGCATCAGCCCGCTAAGCACCAGGCCCGGAAGAAGGGGATCCGGAAGATGGCGTTGTGACCCAGTAGATGTACTGACAGGCCGGGGAAAGCCTCTGAGAAGCCTGAACTGAAAAGCAATAACGAAAACTACTACAGGAATCAAGTTCTAGAATCTAAGGCACGGTTGCCTGGGTTGCGGGTTGAGCACTCAGGGCTTGAGATCTGGGGCATGGCTGGCAACGGTGGACTAGGTTTTGAGCTATTGCAGAAATTGCTGTGGATACTGAAGGCACCGCTAAATGGATTCATTCCGTGGTTCTTGGGTGCGGGGACACCTTAGGTTCTTCTCCTGTCAGATTTGGTTGTTTGTCTGGGGTGAGCGTACAGAACTTGGAACGTGAAAGCAACCACTTAGGGTCTGGCATGTATGTTGAAAGTTGGCACGGCACCACGGGCTGCAACGTTGACGGAAATTTGATTCCATTGAGAGCGCCTCTGTACGTCACTAAGACACCAATCAAGTGGCTTCGCGAAACGCATCTGACAAATCAAGGGCCCATACAAGAGGGCCAAAATACCAAGTTGCAACAGTTCTAGGTTTCCTGGCCTAATCCTCCTGCAACGCATATTGGGCGTTTGCGCGGTGTGGGGTCTGTCTGCTCTTGTAGGGTTCCGGAGGCCAGTTGTGGTGTAGCACTTAGGTCTTCGAAGCTTCTTCAAGCTTGAAAGTTACATGTTGGCTAGGGGTTCCACAGGGGTTCAGGATTTAGGGCATAATGTTGCATCCTGCTGTGCAGGGCTACACGATAAAGAAACGCGCTTCGCACACTGTTAAGAAACGCATGTTCTTGGTTTTTGGGGGCCCAATGCAGCTGCGTATGTTTTGCTCAAAACTCGTGGGGAGGCTTGATTGTGAGCCCAAAAACCCTTGGTTTTAAAGGTCGAGCCTTTAACTATAAAGGCCCGGCCGGCTCTATTACCTCTGAAATCTGGAATCTAATGCTATCAGATCAGAAAACATTGATTTCTGATCAAACGGCTTATCCAATCAGGCGAGGACACTAAGTTGAAAAGGTGATAGTCCAGCAAGCCCCCTTAGTTACATGAATGCTTTTGGGGCCCAAACAATATCAAGTTTTAGTGCTGCGTTAAGAGTTCATGCTAAAGGCAAGAGGCATTCAATGAAAAGGCCGAATTGGAAGCTGAACTGTTCTCTTCCTGGTAGTTTCCCAAAATAAGGGGACCCCAATATAGACCCCAAAATACTATAGTCCTTATTATTGGGACCCCCAAAAAGGTACCCCTAATTTTGGGAAACCTCCTCCTTTGCCTTAGTTTCCTTGTGACTCTACATCGGAGCCCAAGGATCCTCCTTGGATGCCCCAGACCCCCGATTTGGTCTGGGAGTGTGACTATATAGGGCTTACATTTAATTATGGTGTAGGGTTGAGGGTTTGATTTGTCATGCTAGGGTGGAGGAGGGCCCACACACAAGTCAGGATCGCGCCTTCAGGGTCGGTAGTAATTTATACGGGGTGAAAACGGATCTCGTTGAAAACCTTAACATTCCCATTTCCGTCAGCGGCCTTTCCGTGCCCGCTTGGGAAGTATACTCCAAGAAAGCCTTTAGACTCAGCCGCACACTTAACCTAACACTGGGATGTCAGTCAGATCCCAACTCTCGCACCCCAGGGCTGTGTCAATCCCTGATACTAACCCCACCCCTCCCCCATAACCATCATGATCATGGGAATATCTATGATAACGATAGTAACAAACAATCCCGAATCATTTCCGCTACACATGCTAGTTTCCACCAATAGGTCGGGCACTACCGGGAAGGGCTAAGCGCAGACGGGGATCCGCATGCGTCGGTCCCAAAGGACGTCATCGGCGATACGCCAATAATGCCTTCTGCTCACCAACGGCTTAAGCTGTAGGGTGGTGCCCCCCAGTTACGAAATTATACTTACATCATAAGGCCCAGAAGTATGCGGGATCAGACTTGTAATTGTACTGTCCCCTTTTTAAGTTGCTAAACCACGGACCACAATACCTAGGCGCACGAGGTTCAAAGGCTTATGAGTTTCAGGAAGTCCGAGCTTGCGTTGAGGCAGCTAAAACTGGAAAAAATCTTGCTGGAGGAACCCCTTACAAAAAAAGTCTACATTTGGGCCCTAAAATCGGTAAATATTACCTACATTGGGCTATCTGGATCCCTTGCGTCGGGGAACAGTATACGGAACGTCAATGGGAGCAAGAAAGAGAGGAAGGGACACAGTTCCTTTTTGCTAAGCTTCCTACATTCACTAACAACAAGGACCACAAGGAAGTAGGGGCTAAACAATTGGGGGAAACATATCTTTTGGGAACATAATTTCCTCCCAGTAACTTTGCAGGTTGGGGTTGCCTTTCAGCTTCTGAGGAGCAGGCCACACATCTGCAGTCCAAGATCATTAAACACAGTTAGCACCACACAGCCCTGCTCCTGAAGAAAAAACACTGCGCTAGGCACCTGTTGACATAGGGTCTGCGGTCAGACAAGGTGAGCCAGGGTATAACCCCTACGCTTCTGGAACTTATGAAGGTGACATAAATCAATAATAACCCCTACACAGCCCTTATTCATACCCCAGCCACGAGGAAAGCATGTCTTCAGCCTGCGGCTCCCTGACCTACTAGGGAGCGAAGTAGCTTCCGCATCTCTTGATGCATCTGAATGCCAAATGAAAACCTGCCCAGAGAAGAACTCGAAACCCTAGGAAACATCGGGAGCTTCAGAGATTCGAGGTCCTGAGGGTCCCTGAAAATACAAATCCTAGTATATAGCGGTCTACTGAGTCTACTTTGGTGTGCCTTTATCATGGAAGCTCCATGCATCATTTGGAGCCCTGCGCTGCTGCACGATTGTAGGGCCTATAGTGTCTTGGGAGGATCCCCCGTCCCAGTACCTGTCCTAAAAGGGGTCTCATTCATGACTCCTATGACCCAACGAAGTAAAAGTTACTGTAAGGGGGAATGATCCAGCCAAAGCCCAGTGTACCTCGGGGCAGTCCCAGGTTTGAATTTATACCAAAACGGGGGTCCCTGTTGGACATTCCATAGTTGAATGAAGACTCGAATCTTTAGGAGCGCGCATGTCAACTCTAGGCCTTCAACTTGTAGACTCAAAGCTCCCAAGAAATCCCCACACAACACTTAACACAACCCAATCAAACCCCAATATCCCCTATATAACCCTATATCAAGCAAAACAAATATGCAGGGCAGTCTGAGACGCCATGCGGATGGCAAACAAAGATGTAAGGCCCTTTCTCCTAGGCTGGGCGTAAAGTAAGCAGGGCTGTGTCAAAGGAGCCCGCAAGGGGTAACTTTTTCTTGACTACTAGGTTGAGGTCAAACATGAACTAGCCTTAGCCTGCTTGACTTTCGCAGACACAACACACAGCAGAAAGAAAAGGTGAGGGAAACCACGCAGGGTTGGCTGAGGATTCTGGAGCGTACATCAACAGCAAGCTGTATAGAAACTACTGCAAAGATGCACATACACAAATGTTCGACCCCTCATCAGAGCCTAAACCCAATTTTTTGAACAAAATGGGGGGGGAGGTGTCCATGGGTTAGGGGCACTTTTGTCGGTGGTAGTCCCAAAAATACGTACACGTACGATAATATCTTAGAGTCTATATTGGCGCCAATTCATAGAAACCTCCTCGAAAGCACAAAAGCACAACATCTGTACTACTCAGCGGGCGTTTGTCAGCTGGCAAAGGTGATGTCACTCGCATCGTGACCTTGAGCAGAGCATGCAGCGGGGTGCTTAATACATGGACCTAAACAAACTATAGTCTAAACTCCTTGTATCCCCTTTAAATCCCTTTAATAACCGCTCCCCTATATGATCCCCTATATAACCCGTTTAAGGTGCTTAGTCTATTGCTCCAATGATTACCTATGTCGTATCGAGGTCTATCTTATTTGAGGCACCCTATGCTATAGATAGTTAGGGGACGGAATCTTGAACCATGATAGTTGCAACTATTTAGGGTACCATGTCCTTAACCACGTACCAGTCCCGTGAAAAGCAGACCTTAGCCACACCCTAGACCTTAAACCCTCTAGAACACTGTTCTCGGGTGCAGGATGGGCGGGTTCGACTCCCACGTGGGTTAAGATTTCGGGTTTAGGGTTACGTCAGGTTTGGGTTTTAGGGCGAAGGTTTAGGGCTCAAGGTTAAGGTTTTGCGCTTAGGCTTAAGGGGGAAGCCCCCCCATGTCCTAAGTGCCAGGATTGCGGGCTAGGAGGCGGAAGTTTCAGAGGCCTGGGCTGAGAAGCGCATTGTGGTCAGGATCTTCCACAGTAATGTCCAAAATGCTCTAATCCTCCTTGCAGGGACCCCGAAAAAAAGGCTAATTACCGTTAATTCTATAAAAACCAAACGATCTAAATTATGATGGGCATTCTACAAAGGGATGCCAGGGTCCTGATTAGGGATCCTACATTAAATTTGCCAAATCCCCGACAAACATCCTTTGGGAAACCGAAATGCTTCCCAGTTCACTAAACCAAAATCTCATTTGAGTTGAGGCCTGGTGTGGTCACTAAAATGGAGCGAGGGTCGTGCGTGCCACTCACGAGCAATACCAATTTCAGTGTTAAGTCCCACAACACTGAATCGGACATCCTGAACCTTATAAGAACAAGAAAAACCTGGGCCCTGAAGCTCAAACCCGAAGTCCCGCGCACTAAGGCACCAATCTAAGCTCAAGATCCTAGGCTGTAACCCCTAGATCCTTAACTCTAAATCCTGAACCGCGAGCCCCAAACGCTGCAGGCGCAGTGGCTGGAAAATAGCGGGAGGCCCACCTCCAGAAGAAGCCCCTCCGCAGAAAATCCTGGGCTTAGAATTCATATTTAAAGAATACGACGGGTTCAAGACGTATTGAGTTTCGGAGTTGCGTGGTTCAGGACTTATGGAGTTGGGACTTGCAGGGTTTCTTGTGTTAGGTGGAAGGGCTTGCGGTTCCAGGGCAGGACTCTTTGCTACATGCTATTCATGTACTTACCAAGGGCGTCAATTCTTGATAGCAAACTCGCACAGCATGCAGCTCCGAAAAGAAACTGCCCAAAGGCTCTCAACTTTCTGTTGCTAATGATTGGGGGGGAGTATACACCCTATATAATATGTTCCCTTATTTCCTGCTGTAAGAAGAGCATAGCAACTTGCTACTCGAGGTGGCCCCTGATTGTTTCTGAGGCAGACTTCTTAGTGTAGTTAAACGACACCCTAGGAATGTAGAATAAATGTAGATTGGGGTTTAGGGTATAGCCCCTCCCCCAATTAAAAAAATCCCCACCCGGGTAATAATGAATGTTCCTGCCATTGTAGTCACTGACTTCCACCCCAAGCTGGATCAGCATGAACAAGCCCCATTAATGCTCCACCAGTTCAGGTTTAGGGCATTGAACAACTCAAGAATTTTACGGCAGCTGTAGTGGAACATCGTAAACCTCCAAACACTTCCAGCACATCTAAGCCATTTCCACAACTAGAGATACCCCCACCCACCAACCTTATGACATACTTTGCCCCCGACATATAATCGCAGTATGCTGGGAACAGTGACTATTCGGGAAAGGGATTGGTTGTGAGAAAGGGATTAATTGTGAGCTTCCAGAGATTGTTTTTTTGCAAAAGGGCTTTGAAGAAGGATTCATTTTGTACCTAGACCCCTATACCCTACCCCTTTTTCAGGGTGGTATAAAGTTAGGTACCCGAAACAAGGGGTAGGGTTTGGAGGGTAGGTAGGGCTCAATGCCACAAAGCTTTGGGACCTTGTCACCGGCCTTGTTACCTGGATATAAAGCACCATGAACAAGGTATGCCGGGCAGCCGTGATGCCCAGCTTCCAGAGAAACCTGGAATCAAGAGCTGGAACATCGCAACACCAGATGATACCAGGAGATGGGATTTGAGGTCTACCTAGTACCCATTTACATAGAAAAAGACGTAGAGGCACGTGGCAAAGCCGTTCCTGTTACATAGGTCCATTGGTGACTCCCGGTTGGGTTTCGGGATTCAGGGTCTGCATCACAGGTTTAGGGTTGTGGCCGTGGGATTCCGGCATGGTAGCCCAACGCCCTCAAGCTCCTCACAGAGGAACGCTTGGGGACATTGCATGCTAATGACAGGGCATGGCAGAGTCCACAAACTCCTAATAGATCTTACCACAGCACATGAAACCCGAACGTGGGGCCCCCAATTCCGAAAAAGGTGATCTGGAAGAGTTCTACGGAGCTCCGCTCGCTCACCGGAGCAGCTCAGCTGAACAATGATTGCTCCTAAGGCCCAACGCCCAGATGCAAAAGAAACCCTGACTATGCTTTCTGGGCTGCTGTGTAGAGAGGGCAATAGTAAAGCAGCATAGTCTGCAAAACGATAAGCAATATGCATAATGACGGAGTGACAGGCTGGTGCTACGCCCTGAACCCAAAACCGTGTGGGTTCTCTTTGTGCAGCCTTGTCGCGAGTAGCCGCCCTTCTCAGGACAGGGGTCCTGCGCTATCCACGCGGTTGCTGCTGAGGAAATCAAACTAACCTCCTCACACAAACGACATGGTGCATAATAGGGTGCCCTGGCTATGGCAACTCAATTTGAGTTCCTTGACAACACACCCAGTCACACCCAGTCATCGATACAATTTTCTTCCCAGGTGGTGCTCCTTATAACTATAAGGGATTCCTCAACTTCGCAATTCTCCAAGTCCCTGTTGTGGATAGAGGAAAGCTTGCACTGCTCAATATGGGGATTTCCCAAAAGTAGGGGTACCCTTTGGGGGGTCCCAATAATAAGGACTATAGTATTTTGGGGTCTATATTGGGGTCCCCCTATTTTGGCAAACTACCATATACTGTAGTACTAGGACCCACTCACAATGTAATGGGGGGTCGTAAGTGGTGCAAGACTTCTTCCATACGCTGTAAGACCTGACAAAGGAGGAAAAGGCAAACTGCAGGCAAACCATTTCGACCAAACACGGTCAGAAGAATGAACGTTTTCGCGGTACCCAACCCAACATCAACATTCTAGCGGCAACAACTGCAGAGGTATTGCTGCGAATAGGTCTATCAAGAATGAGCCTTGCCCAAATCTCATGAAACCCAGAGCTCCACAAGCATCCAGCAGAAGTAGGCGAGCAGAACAGTTCGGAGGGTGCTGCCACCGTACACAAACATTGCAGCCTCAGGCACTCATGCATACAGGCTGCTGTGCCCGAGTTAGGTTCGATACAACCCTAAAAATGCAAAAACTACATTGGGGTTGTAATATGGGTTATATAGGGGTTATATTAGGGTTATATATATAAAGGTTACAAATCACCGGTTGACATGAAAGCGTCAACAGTATGCAGCCAATGCGAAACCCCTGTTAACCCAGATCTGAGTTTCTCAAAATGCCCCCCTCCATAGAACCTTCAAGGGGCCGTATAGTCTACACATTATTCCCACACATACTGCGGGGATCCTCAGGGCAAGATTAGGGGGGCTATGTTGAGAACAGGGGCCCATAACAGAAAGGGGCCACTCTGACTGTAGAAGTCGAAGCTGGTGGCCTGTGCTACCCAATTCCCCCTACACCCTAAACCCCAAAACATGATGGTTCCTGACATGGCCCAAATCCTCCTTGTAGTCACATGGTACGTTCCTAGACTTGGCTGCCTGGCAAGACAGAGTTCTGGCGGCTTCTACCACACTTTAGTTGAAACCGAAACTCTGACCAAATAATAACTGGACTTGGTAACCCATCCCACCACATCAGGACCATTTGAAATCACATGACTATATAAGCGTCTTAGGTTTGGTGTTTGGGGTTACCCTAAACCTTAGCAAGCTTTTGCTGAAGACCTTGCACCCTCCCCAAGAAAACATGGAACCCCACAGTGGCCCCTTGCAGAAGGACAGAAAACTTCATGAAGGGCCCCAATGCGGCCGAGCCTGGACTGGCACGGCGCCCGTGAAAATTGACATGCAGGACTTGTCGAAATATATGTCCAAACCCCCTGACTATGAAGTCCCCAACACAATCCCACTATATTGGGGAGTATTGATCATTGGGATTGTGGCCTTTCTTCGGGGTATCGGATGAATACAACACGGCTGGCAGAATAAAAGGCGACAGCGGGCAAAGACCAGTCATTGTAGTAGTAGTCGTGGTCGTGGTCGTGGTCGTGGTCGTGGTGGTGGTGGTGGTGGTGGTGGTGGTGGTGGTGGTGGTGGTGGTGGTGGCGGTGGTGGTGGTGGTGGTAGTGGTGGTAGTAGTGGTAGTAGT